TTTGGGAGGAGTTTCTGAGGAACATGGCTCATGGAAGAAGTTTACCCTGTTGGAGAGGCTGGATGTGGCAGCTCCTGAGCATTCATGGAATCCTGGAATGGTGGGGGTGGGAAGGGACCTTAAATGCCACCCAGGGCCACGTTCCGTAGCTCAGGTTGCTCCAAGCCCTGTCCAGCCTGGCCTTGGACACTTCCAGGGATGGTGCAGCCAGCTCCCAGTGGGGCTGGTGCCATGGGATGAACCTCCCATAATGATCAATTCTGGGGATTTTAGGGAAATAATATGATGGAAAAGCTGCTCTCCAGCCCAGGGGTCTGGAATTTTGCTCTAAGGTCACAGGGTGGGGTTTTCTCCCTCTGAACCTGATGCAGGAGGGATGGAAAACTGCTGGAGAGCTGTGGCAGGAGCACAGGGCAGGATGGAGGGATGGACCAGGATGGAAATGAAGAGGATCAGGAGCCTTTGTGTCTCTCCTGATCCCTTTTAATCCACATTTTCCCAACCTCTCAACCAGGAGCCAGGGTTGGTTACTTGTGTTTTTCCAGATGCCAAATCCATTTTTCCCTGCCTGGATCACGTTAAGGACACTCCTTTCCTCGAGCTGAACCAGATTTCAGGGAAGTTGTGTAACCCCATAAATGTTTAACCAGGAGAAGGAGAGGGAAAGGCCACGGGGAAGGGAGTTACACCCTGGGATCCATCCCCTGCCCTGAGCAGGGAGGTTTGGGATGAAACACACCCTCAGGAGCCCAACTTGGGCCAGAACATCCCCCTGACACGCAGGGACCATGGGAAACTGGGGGGATAAGATGATGGAAGATCTCTGGTTATTCACCAGGACAAGGCAGGAACGATCCAGGGTCCAGCCACAAAGGGGTTGGGAGGTGCTCCAGCTTAAAACAAGTGGGAGTTACCACTTGGATGAGGTGTTTGGTTGTTATTAAGATTATGCCCCACCCCTGGAAGTGGTGTTCCATTCCTGGAAGTGTCCAAGGCCAGGCTGGATGGAGCTTGGAGCAATCTGAGCTGGTGAAAGGAGGTGTCCCAGGGGGTGGGACTGGGTGAACTTTAAGGCCCCTTCCCACCCAAATTCCATGATTCCATTTAAGAGCCACGGGTTAATACCCAGACAGCAGCTCTCCGAGGCATCTCTGCCTGCTCCTGGCTCTCCCATCCCGTGGGATCATTGATTTTCATGGATGTTTGGAGGGGGTAATGAGGGGAGAGGAGCTCACTCGATACGGAGCGGGCACCAGGAAAGGGCAGGACGGGGGGGAGGCTCCCTGCTTGGGCCCTGACATTTCCCTGGTGCTGAGCCGGGAGGGGAGGGAGAGGTGAGAGCAGATGGGGCTGGGAATGGCCCAAAAGGCTGGATTTGGAGGCACTCGGGAAGCAGGAGAGGGGACACCTCAGCCCTGCCCCCCCAGCACTCCCAGGCTGTTCCCAGGGAATAGGGGCACTGTGGATCCATGGGAAGGGATCTGTCCCCTCTTTGAGGATGCTGGCAGCAGCAACAGTCCTGCCTGTCCCCAGCTGCTCCACCACCCAACTGAATGAATGCTTTCAGTATCATAATGAGTTAGAAAAGGACAGTGGCTGCAGGGCAGGGATGGGGGGAGTGGGGGAAGAAATTCCTCCCTGGAAGGGAGCAACCTGGGATAGAGTATGGTGTCCCTGCCTGTGGCAGGGTGGGATTTAAGGTCCCTCCCAACACAAACTGGTCTGGAATTCCATGAAAACCCATCTGCCGGGGACCCCAAGGCTACAAACCAAGCGTGGGCTGCAAAGCATCATCCCTTCCCATCCCAGTTCCTGTTCTGATCCTACCAGGCCTCTTTCCAGCCCCAGTCCCATTCCCAACCCCGTCCCGCTGCCACCCCCTCGGCCAGCACACAGTGACAAAGTGACACGCGGGGACACCTCGGGCTCATTGAAGCCCAGGAGGGTGGGAACTGCTGGAAAACGAGGGTGGGAGCGGCTGGGGAGGCTTTGGCAGCGCCGTGGGAAGCTGCTCCTGCCCGGGGCTCCCACTGCCTCCGGCCCGGCGGCTGAGGGGACGTGTCCTGGGGAGGCCACCACCCACCCGGGGCCTGAAGGGGGCCGTGTCCCCGTCCCTGCCCTCCGGGGGGCACCCGGCCGGGGCCGTGTCCGTGTCCCCTGCGAAGAGACACAGGGAGAGGGGTGAGAGGGCTGGGGAGCCCGGGAGCGGAGACAGGAGGGGACAGGGCTGGGTGTCACCCCTGCGGTGCTCCCTGGGGACGCTCCCAGTCCAGGAGGGTCACCCAGCCCCAGCCCTGCATGGCACCCTGCTCCGTACCAGGGCCTGGCCTGCTCACAGCTCTGCCCTGCTCCTGTGCCGGGGGGCTCCAGGTGGCCGTGGAGGTGTCCCTGGAGGAGCCCCCAGTGGGTGTTTCCACGGAGGTGCCCACGGCTGCCTCCAGGACCCGGCGGCGCCGCTGCAGGATGGATTCCAGCTGCCGGTCCCGGCCCTTGGCGCTGCCCCGGTGCCCACTGCGCCTCCGGCTCGGCCTCCTCATGGCACCCTGGGACACGGCCGAGGGGCTGAGGGTCACACCGGGCACGGGGACCCCCCAGGGCAGTGGGACAGGGGTCCCCCCGTGGGACAGGGCTGCTCACCAGGATCCCCTGCAGCTCCAGCACCACGCTCCTCCGCTTCCCGGCCACCGGGTCCTGGGGGGCAGGGAGGGGGGGCTCATCCTGCTGCTCCTGCAGGGCTGGGGCTCCCGGTGCTTCTCCAGCCCACTCCAGTGCCAGGACTGCCCAGGGACCTTGTTGGGACCCATCCCTGCCTACCTGGCCCAGGTGTGCCCTGTCCTTGGCTGGCCGCAGGACCACCCCGGTCCTGATCCGCTCCATCATCTCCTGCACGGCCCGGGCTCTGACATCCTCAGCTCTGCCATCCTGGGCTTTCACATCCTCTGCTCCCAGGTTATCTGTGCAGGTGTCACCACGCTGAGACCCCCCCAAGCTCATGACAGCCCCCCCCTGCGCCCCCCCATGCCGGGGGTCCCTCCCTTGGCCGTGGCCCAGCGTGGTCCGATCCTGCCGGGGTCCATCTACCCCCTGTGCCGGGCGGGACAGGGGTGCTGACACCCTCCTTTGGGGGGTGGGATCTGCAGGGCACCCCAAACCCCAAACCGGCCCCTCCCACCCACTTCTCCCACTCCGTCCTCCCTGTGCCCAGGGTTCTCCATCCCCGTGGCACTGTGGGGACCCCCCGGCACCAGGAGCCCCCCGGCACTTACTGTGCTGCCGCTTTGCCACCCCCTTCCTCTGCCTGATGGCTGCCAGGGGACTGCAAGGGAGAGGGGGGTGAGAGCTGCCCCCTCACCCCAAACCCGTCAGCAGTGCCCACCCTGCCCACTGCCCCCCAGAGAGGGGCAGCCGGACCCCCAGCACACCCCCAGCCCCCCAAAACCCTGCTGGGGACTGACCCCCCGTCATCCTGCACCTCCCACCCGGGACAGCCCGGCACGGCTCGGGGACAGCTTGGGGACAGCCAGGCACGGCTTGGGGACATCGGGGACAGCCGGCACGGCTCGGGGACAGCTTGGGGACAGAGGGACAGGGTTCGGGGACAGCCGAGGGGCGGGTGGGCCAAGGTTTGCCCCCACGCCGGGTTTCCCTAGGGCAGGCCCACGCCGGTAGCCCCTGTAGTTGCGGCGGGCGGTGCCCGGGATGCCCGGCGGTGTCACCTACTCCACGGGGACAGCGGGGCCCGGCGGTGGCAGCGGGGGGGGTGGCGGGGGCTCGGGGGCCCGGCTCTGCGGCGGAGGGTCCTGGGCCAGCTTCTCCCGCAGGAATCCCACTGCAATGGGGTGGGATTGGGGCTGGTGACCCTCAGAGCCCGAGCCCACCGGGCCGTGGGCACCTCGGTCCTCCCTCGCGTGGGGCTGAGCACCCACCTTCCTCCTCCAGCCCCACCAGCCGCCCCTCAGCCTCCTCCAGCCTCCTCCTCAGCTCCAGCTTCTGCTCCTCCACCTCAGCCAGAGCTTCCCGGGCCCGATCCAGCTCCTCCGGCTCCGGCCGCATCCGCAGCTGCTCCTGCAGCTCCTCCACCTGCGGGATGGGGGATCCCGGGAGCTGGGAACCCCCGGCCAGCCCTGCCTGGGGGGATGTGCCACAGCCCCACAAATTCACCACTTGGCAGGAACTTTAAGCGGCTTTTAGGACAAATCCAGCTGGGTGATGGAGCCCCCTCAGTGTGTGGGGAGGCCCCACTGTGGGACCCGAAACGTGCTGGTGGAAATCCATGGAAGAACCTCTCCAGGGAGGGCACAGGGAGAGGGGGTGGAGGGGTCTGATCCTGATTCCAGCCAGTTCCCGCACCCAGGGGACACCCCCCAGCCCCGCAGCCTTGTTGGGACCCAGCCCTGCTCCCCACTCCATGTCCCTCCACCCCCGGGGACAGCCTCCCACCCCCGGGGACAGCCCCCCACCCCCGGGGACAGCCCCCCACCCCCGGGGACAGCCCCTCACCCCCAGGGACAGCCCCTCACCCGCTGCCGCTGCTCCTGCCTGGTCTCCTCCAGCTCCCGGCTGAGCCGTCCCAGCTCCTGCAGCGCAGCCCCCAGCCGGGCGTCGGGCCCGTCCCGCAGCAGGATCGAGCTCTGCCTGTTCGCCTCCTTCTGCTGCACCAGCATCTGCCCGCGGGGCCGGCTCAGCGAGGTACCGACCCCCGGGACACCGAAATACCCCTTGGGGGGGGCTGGGGCAAAACCCACCCGGCCTCATCCCAGGGCGGGTGCCCGGGAGAATCCCACCCAGCCCGGGATGGATCCAATCGTGGGATGGGCCTTGGGGTGCCAAGGGAAGCTGAGACAAGCACCCCCCGCTCTCCCACCCCCCAGGGGTGCCCCCCACTCCCAGCGCCACCCGGGGCCCGGAGGCACCTCGTGGGCGAAGGCTTCGGCGTGGAGCCGCAGGTCCTGCTCCAGCTCCAGCTGCTCCAGCGCCTCACAGTAATCCTGGGTGACGATCTGGGACACTGCCGGCCACAGCGGGGGTCGGGGGGGGGGGCGGTGCCAGCACGGGAGGCTCGTGCCACCGTGGGCACCTCGGCACCGCCGCCTTCCGTGGGTGGGACACCCGCGGCCCGGCCATCCCCCGGCAGCTCCCGGCCTTCGGCTGCACCAGTTCGCTGGACGGGGCGGCACTGGTGGCACTGGGAGCTGCCAGGGGCTGGGGAGGGGCCCCGGGGACCCTGCTCACCTCTCTTGAAGGACCTCAGTGCCCGCTGACTCGTGGCCAGGGCCGCCCGCAGGCGCTGCCGCTCCTCCTGCTCCAGCTCCAGCTGCGCCAGGACAAACCCTCCCCTCAGCCCCGGCTTCGCTGGGGGGTCCCTCCGTGCCCAGCCCACCCCCCGGGACATCAGGGGCTAGAGAGGGGGGCTCTTCTTTACCCAAATATGTCCTGAGCCCAGCGAGGAGCCGCGGGGATGAGGAGTGGATGGGGACGGAGGAGGGGGGTTCTGCCCGGCCAGGGGGCCCAGGGGGGTCTCGGGAGGTACCTGGGCCTGCAGGTGCTGGTTCTGCCTCTGCAGCTCCTGGACCTGGACCGTGAGCTCCTCCTGCTGCTCCAAGAGCCGGGATAGCTGTTCCTGCAGATCTGGGAGCAAAGTGGGGGGTGAGGGGTGGGAGAGGGGAGTGCAGACCCCACCCCTAGAGCTGGACTCACTCCTCAGGTCACCCCTGTCCCTGCTGTGTCACCAGAGTCCAGCTGGAAGCTGGATTTGGGAGGTGACCCGGAGGGAAGGACATGTGGCAATGGGGGTGGGACCCCCGGGATCCGCGGGGTCGTGCTCAGCACTCCGAGCACCCCAAGGGTCAGCCCAGGGGTGGAGTCAGAGCATCTCCTGCACGTGGAGGGTTTGGAGGGAACGGGGTGACTCCCAGGGGTCTGTCCCCCCCGGATATCTCTGCCAGGGGTGCAGCCCCTCGAGGGGGCACCCCCAGCCCCCCCGGCTCCCACAGGCTGCAAATAGCCACAATTGCTGACGTGGGAAAACAGGATGGGAAAGGGGAAGCGGGAGCAGCTGCGCTTTCCCTTCACCGTTGGCGGCTCATTTCGGTATCGCTTTCACCCTGTTTAACCCCAAACAGGGCTCAGGCGCAGCCTAAACCGGTGCCGGGCCAAGCCGGGCTTAGGGGACACTGTGGGGGGGCCGCCGGGGG